TGATGAACCCCACTTATAGAGGCAGAGATCTGTTGTTGGTATCACTTAGTTCATTACAAATGTGACTCTATGGTTCTGTGGAGTGCTGAGATTAAGGCCTGGCCAATGCTAAAATTCAGTCTTGACATCTGCTTTGGTCAAATCAAGTTAACTCCATTACCATTTTTTTTTTTTTTTTTGGTGCTTCAAGTCCTAGGACTTAAAGTTAGGGCCTAGACACTAGACACTATCCCTGAGCATTCTTTGCTCAAGGCTAGCCCTCTATTACTGTAACCACAACTCCACTTCTAGCTCTTTGTTGGTTAACTGGAGATAGGTATCTCACAGACTTCTCCTCCCTGGCCAGCTTCAATCCTCAGATCTCAGCCTTCTAAGTAGCTAGGATTACAGGTGTGAACCACTGGTGCCTAGCTAACTTATTTTTTGTGTGTGAATTACTAAGAATTTTTCAGTAAATCAGGATCATGACTCAGTTTTGTAACTGCCTCTGGGAGACTTGTTGCACTGCTTGTGCCTAGCCATCCTCACTGACAATCCTTTTCCTCCTCAGGCTTGGTCACTGCTAACATCTTGGTTTTAACCCAAGACATATGAACAGGATAATGACCAGTGTTAGCCAGGCCCTCTTTAAATCTCTATGAGATGACTGGAAAGTGAATTCCTAAATTGAAGATAATTCAACCTTTCGGTTTTGTGGTTAAGTTCTAAGTACAATGAATTTCATTAGTACGGTTTTGATACTTGATTCCAAAATGGTCTGGTTGGCCATTATTCTCTCAACCTATTGTTTCTCTCATTTAATGAAAACCAAAAGAATAATTCAGTAGCTCAGTAAGTCATATGGAGACATTTACAACACAAGCAGTATCCTTTTCCAGTGCCCCTGACTTCTTATGACACAGTTAGATCACAATAATAATCCAGATGGGGCTGTGATTCTATCCTTACCACATGTAGTTAAAACAGCCTTTGTTCACTTTAGCAGAAGGAAGACAGGCTGATTGTAGTCCCAGCAGGGATGTAATTTTTATCCTCTGAGAGTCTCAGTTCCTATGAGAGAAAATGGCTGAGTCTGCCTTATCTCCAGGGAGAAAATGTGCACATTAGAAAAACCACGAGTTTAACTGCTCTCTCCCTGGGAGGCCACCACAGAGAAAACCAGCTTATGTTGGCAGTTAATGGAAAAATACCTCATGTTTGTCTATGTGCACATGGATCCATCTGGTCCACAACAGAGACAAGAACTGGGAAGACATGGAGGAAGATGCAGAGAGCAGGAGGAACGTGTGTGAGAAGAGCAAGGACTCCAGCTGGGATGAGGCTCCAAGTAAGCACTTATAACCATACAATGTCCTGCACATGTGCTCCAACTTATTACACATGGAAATCAACCAGGGAAGCTTAAAAATATTTATGTTTGCCAGGCTCTAGTGGCTCATGCCTGTAATCCCAGCCACTCAGGAAGCTGAGGTCTGAGGATCATAGTCAAAGGCAGACCTGGCAGAAAAGACCATGAAAATGTTTTCTACAATTAACCATCAGAAAGCCAGAAGTGGAGTGTGGCTTGAGTGGAAGAACAAAAAAAGCTAAAGGACAGACCCTTGACCCTAAACTCAAGTCCCAGTACCGTCCCACACCCAAATACACATTCACACAAAATATTGATGTTTAAAACCCACCCCTGAAGGTTCTGTGATAGTCAGAATTATGACTTCCCAAAGATGTCATGTCTCTGGAACCTGTGAGTATGAGATTACACAGGAAAAGGGCATCAAGGTTGAAGACAGAATTAAGGATGCTAGTCAGTTGACCTTAAAATAAGCGTATCCTGGATTATTTAGGTGGGTTAATGCAATCACAAGGTTCTTAAAAGTGGAAGAGAGGGGCAGCATTAGCAGAAGTGATACAATTTAAGAAGGACTCAACCTACTATTGTTGGCTTTGAAGACAGAGGACAGGGTCATGAGTCAATGAATGTGGGTGGCCTCTGGAAACTACAAAAGACAAGGAAATGAATTTGCTTGCTACAGTCTCCAGAAGGGCAATGTGGTTTTGTCAACATCTTGGGTTTTCACTCCAGAGTCCAATGTCAAATAGAACTGTAAGATACAAGTCTGTGTTGTTTTAAATCACTGCATTGTGGAAATATTAGTCTTAGTGTAGTTAGTTAATGCTACAGCAGTGATAGAAACCTAACATGCAAAGAGCCTGAGCTATGAAAGTTTTCAAACTTCCAAACACCTGCTCCCAGTAGTTCTAACAAGTGGCAAAGTTTGATAACCACTAAACTAATGACTGCTTAGGCTAAGAAATGGTAACAGTGATTTCCTTTCACCTGGGAAGGCAGCAAGTCTCCCACTAAATTATCTTCAGTCCTTAGCCTTCTACCCATAGACACTGTGGACTATATATACATCACAGGATAAGTTTGTTCACCAGTTTAGGGCCGGAGTTTTCTTTTTTCTTTTTTTTTTTTTGCCAGTCATGGGGCCTGAACTCTGGGCCCGGGCGCTGTCCCTCAGCTCTTCAGCTCAAGGCTAGTGCTCTACCACTTGAGCCACAGCACCACTTCTGGCTTTTTTCTGCTTATGTGGTGCTAAGGAATCGAACCCAGGGCCTCATGCATGCAAGGCAAGCACTCTACCACTGAGCCACCTTCCCAGCCCAGGGCCAGAGTTTTCTAATGTGACACACTGAACCAACTACATTTCACTGTGATAAAGAATATTTACAAGTCGCAGTTGAAGCAGCCATTAGTACTGCTTTCTTTGAAGAAGTTATTCAATAAATCTATTTATATAGTTAGTTTTTTTTAAAAAAAGAATATTTAGTCGGGTGCCTGTAATCCTAGCTACTCAGAAGGCTAAAATCTGAGGATTGCAGTTCAGAGCCAGCCCAGGCAGGAAAGTCTGTGAGACTCTTATCTCCAATAAACTACTAGAAAACCGGAAGTGGCACTGTGGCTCAAGAGGTAGAGTGCTCGCCTTGAGCTGAAGAGTGCAGGGACAGCACCCAAACCCTGAGTTCAAGCCCCACTACCTAAAAAAAAAAAAAAAAAAGAATATTTAGATGCCAGAGAAGCAAAATTTTTTATGGTACTGAAGATTATACTCAGAGCCTTGCTAGGCATTCCTCTATAACATGTGAGCCATGCTTCTAGTCCTTTTGTTTTTCAATAGGGTCCTGTGCTGGACCCAACGCCTCTGACCTCTGCCTTCCTGAGTAGCTTGGATTATGTATGCGTTCTATCATGCCTGGCCCCACATTTTTTATAAAGTCTTTTTTCTTATAATACTGTCTTTCAAGGCAAGAACTAATAGCTGAATTATATTCAAGTATATAAACTGGCCTGTTCACAGGAGCCCCATTGGAAAAAGGAGTAAACTGTCTTCTCTGCTGAAACTATCGAAAACCACTGTTAGGATTATAAAGACAGTTTCTCCACTTGCTTAGAAATCTTCTTATGAGTGATAGATGATCAACAGATGGAATTTGTTTATTTATGATAGACAAAAGGAAGACTACCATGGGAACAAATGAACTCATTCTTCCTAGGGACCAAGAAAAGAAGTGCCTGTTGTGTGATTTTGGCAAAGTACAGCCCTCCCTGCAGAGGATGCCTTCATCTGCTTATCAGGATTTCATTGCTTGCTCATGCTGCTGACTTTCCCTGAAGCCCATGTCATTGTGGTACTCCCACAAAAGCTAAAATCTCAGAACCTTGTACTTACACTTTTCTCTCTCTACTTCAGCTTTGCTGGACAGAAAGCTGGTGAAACAGAGAAAGCAGTCATGTTAAAGACTTGAGTATGAATTTCAGCCTTGTCTCTAACAAATGATGTGACATTAGAAGGTTTCTCAGCTGCTCTGAGTTTTGTCTCTAATAAATGAGGATAATAGAGCCAGGCACTGAAGGCTCATACCTGTAATCCTAGCTACTCAATATCTGACGATTGTGGTTTGAAGCCAGCCAAAGCAGGAAAGTTTGTTAGACTTTATCTCCAATTGACCAGCAAAAAGCCAGAAATGGAACTGCGACTCAAGTTGTAGAATGCTAGTCTTGAACAAAAATAGCTAAGGCCAATGCCCCGTCCCTAAGTTTAAGCCCATGAAAGTGATTTGCACATAGCAGGGGCTTTGGTATATGCAACTTCACCGCAACTCACCTACCCTAAGCTTTCATATATCATTGTGTGCTGAAGCTTCTTCTATCTCTTTACCTCTTTGCCCTTTTCTCTCACTGATCTCTAGTACCCTCTCTTTAACTTAGCACTTCCATCTGGACCACTCAGTGGCTTCTTTGATTGGACACATCTAATCTGGCCTTACAGTCTTCACTAACAAATCAGTGAGCCTTCTCAATTTCCCTGCATCTGTAACTGTGAAAGCACCACCAGTTCCTTGTCCCTTTCCTTTCTTCCTCAGTCCTACTACCCCATACTCACTCCTTCTCATAGTACCCAGTTTGACCACAAAAGTCTTCCTGGTGGCCTTCATACCTGAAAGCAACATCTCTTGCAATCCAAACCATTATAGTTTACAAGTTAGTTTTCCTCAAGCCAGACCTGTCACATGAAGTCTGAACAAGCATCTCCAAACGCTTTTTGTCCCTGCAGACTCATACTTGTGATAAAGAGCAAACTCCACTGGATATATAGAGGATACAAGGTCCACATGCTCAAGCTTCACATCAAAGGATACCAAGTACTGAGCAATTTCACATCACCATCACATTAAAAAAAAAAAAATACGTTCTTGGGACAGATGGATGAACAAAGCATTTTTAAAGGATAGTTGCTGAGAACGAGATATTTTTATCAGATTTTTACACAGTATTTTGTAACTATAATTTGAGAGGGTTACAAATCACCTTTAATTGCATTATGCCACAACAACCAACTGACACTAAGCTACTTTACCTGTTATACAACATGAAAACTATTCAACAAATGTTCGATTACCAAATGATAAATGTGATTAATCTCAGAACTTGCTCTTACCATTTTGTTCATCCAATTCATTTCCAATTTCCTGCCCCATTTGCTTTTGACGACTTATGATAGAGGAAAGGGCATCAAGGCCTGCATCCTGTTCTAGAAAAAAGAAAAAAAAAACACAAACAATTTAAAGTCAATACACAGACCCTACATATACCCACTATGTGACACGGGATAGAATAATTAACATTAGTGGACAAACAAAATCAAATATATGACCTCACACCTTATATGAGTATGACGTAATTTCCAGATTAAATTTTTACTTTATTTTTGCATACAGAACACCATGATCTATTTTATTAGTGTTCTTTTAATCAATATTTCTTAAATGTTCAACTCCTTTTTTGGGGGGGGGGGTCTGGTCATGGGGCCTGAACTCTGGGCCTGTGCACTGTCCCTCAGCTCTTCAGCTCAAGGCTAGTGCTCTACCACTTGAGCTACAGCTCCACTTCCGGCTTTTTGCTTATGTGGTGCTGAGGAATCGAACCCAGGGCCTCAGGCATGCAAGGCAAGCGCTCTACCACTAAGCCACCTTCCCAGCCCTCCAACTTCATAATTTATTAGCTTCACAACTTTTTTATTTTTATTATATTTAAGTACACAAAGGAGTTTCAATTGAACATATCAATTTACGAACACAATGTATCTTGCTCATTGTTATCCTTCCCATCATTCTCCCCCAACAATTAAATTTTTAAATAAAAAAGTAAGATTTGGCTATGTAATCTTTTAAGTTTTCTTAACTTTTGTAAGTGAATAATAGTAAGACAAAGTTCCAATTTTTTTAACAAATAACGGTCATAGACAGGAAATGAAGGAATTTAAAAAAAAAAAAAACAAATACAAAGGAGCCAAATACATACAATGGAAGAAACACAGCCTCTTCAACCACTGGTGCTGGGAAAACTGGGCAGCCACATGCAGAAAACTAAAAGTGGACCCCAGCCTATCACCATGCACCAACATCAACTCAAAATGGATTAAAGACCTTAACATTAAACCTGAATCTCTGAAACTACTGCAGGACAGAGTAGGAGAGACACTTGAACTAATAGGCACAGGAAGGAACTTCCTGAACAGAGTCCCAGGGTCACAACAAATTGGAGAGAGACTCGACAAATGGGACTACCTTAAAATAAAAAGCTTCTGCACAGCTAAATCTATCGCAACCAAGCTAGAAAGACAACCAACTAATTGGGAAAAAATATTTACCAGCAATATATCAGACAAGGGGTTAGCATCCTGTATATACAGGGAACTTAAGAAACTAATCCCTCCCAAACCTAACAAACCAATTACTAAATGGGCAAGGGAACTAAAGAGGGACTTCTCAAATGAAGAAATAAAAATGGCAAAGAAACACATGAGGAAATGTTCATCATCCCTGGTGGTGAAGGAAATGCAAATAAAGACAACCCTGAGATACCATCTTACCCCAGTCAGAATGTCCCACATCCACAAATCGGCCAACAACAAATGCTGGAGGGGATGTGGAGAAAGAGGAACCCTATTACACTGCTGGTGGGAATGTACACTTATACAACCACTTTGGAAAGCAGTCTGGAGGGTCCTTAGAAAGCTAAAGATTGACCTTCCTTACAACCCAGTCATACCACTTCTAGGCATCTACCCTGAACAACAGGAACCAATATACAAGGACACGTGCACCTCCATGTTTATTGCAGCACTGTTCACAATAGCTAGGATATGGAAACAACCCAGATGCCCCACCACAGACGAATGGATCCAAAAATTGTGGTATCTATACACAATGGAATATAATGCAGCCATTAGAAATGACAAAATAATGGCATTTGCAGGGAAATGGATGGAGCTAAAAGGAATCATGTTGAGCGAGATAAGCTAAGAGCAAAGAGACAAATGGTACATGGTCTCCCTGATAAGTGGATGCTAAATCCAAAATGTTAGGTGATACGACAAAATTAACAGGACTTAAGAAACAAAGAACTCCCACTCATCTGGTGGAACCACTACTAAATATCCCCATGCTGCTGATCACATGTATAATGGTGTACACATATACACCATTATATGTTATAGACTGTGATAGACAATTTGCTCCAGGAAAGTTAGAATGAACTTGTGACTTTAAATGAGCATCATTATTCCACAATACTGTGAAATTCGGGAAATTATGTAATCACTTAACCACAATTAAAAAAAAGAACCTCAGGGAAGGTAGGGAGGGAAGGGATGGTAGGGGAAAACAACGGAGGGGGTAACAATGCTCAATAGGAAGTGTACTCATTACCTTGCTCATGTAACTGTAACCCTCTGTATAGTATCTTTACAATAAAAAAAAAAATACATAAAAGCTCTGACACCACTGATTTTTTAAAAAAATACAAAAATAAAATGATGAGACTTTGACCTATCAGATTTGTCAATATTAAAAAGAACAATGACACCTAAGTCTAACTAAATTGTGAAGAACTACAAACTCCAAGTGCTAGGTATAAAAAAGAGGAAAATTTACTCATCAAAATGTTTCTCAAGATCTGACTGCTCCCCTTTTAGCAATTCTAAAAATCTATACAAGAAAATATGCAAGGTGGGGCTGGGAAGGTGGCTCAGTGGTAGAGCGCTTGCCTTGCATGCATGAGGCCCTGGATTCGATTCCTCAGCACCACATAAGCAAAAAGAAAAAAGCCGGAAGTGGCGCTGTGGCTCAAGTGGTAGAGTGCTAGCCTTGAGCTGAAGAGCTGAGGGACAGTGCCCAGGCCCAGAGTTCAGGTCCCATGACCAGACCCAAAAAAAAAAAAAAAAATGCAAGGTAAGACTTTTAAATATGTTTTCCTTTGCCAGGGTTTTGGCTTTAAAAGTTTCCATCCTCCTCCTTGTTCTCTCTCTCTCTCTCTCTCTCTCTCTCTCTCTCTCTCTCTCTCTCTCTCTCTCTCTCTCTCTCCCCCATTCTCTCTCTCTCATTCTTTCTCTCTCTCTCTCTCTCTCTCACACACACACACACACACACACACACACACACACACACTTGCTCTCTCTCTCCCTCCCTCTGTTCTTCCCCTCTCCCCTTTCTCATTCTTGAAAATTTAAAGAAAAAGTGAAATCAAGGTATTCATGCACAAACACACACACAGTAGGCAGGCCTAGTGAGCTCTGTGTAAGATTCTTTCCCTTGGCCTCACTGGGAAGAGTACTTTAAGACTGACTATACTGACCCTCTTTACCCAAGCAATATGGGAAGCATAATCCCACCTGCACCATCATTTACGTCCATGTTTTGTATACTCACACTTGTGTGCCAGTACTGGGGCCTGGGCATTGTCTCTTAGCTTTTTCACTTAAGGCTTTATTATTTGAGCTACAGGTCCATTTCTGGGTGGGTGGGGAGGGGGTATGTATGCTGGGTGTGGCGTGTGTGTGTGTGTGTGTGTGTGTGTGTGTGTGTGTGTGTGTGTGTGTGTGTGTATGGTGTATATGGTGTGTATGTGTGTGGTGTGTGTGTGTGGTGCGTGTGTGTGGTGTGTATGTGTGTGTGTGTGTGTGTCTGTGTGTGGTGTTTTTTGGAAGAATAGACTCTCCTGTCTATATTGGCTTTGAACCCAGATCTTCAGATCTCAGCCTCCTGAGTAGCTAGTATTATAGGTACCAGTGATGGCTTTTTTATGGATTTTTAAATTCCATATAAAGGAATATCCACAACATCATAAACCACAAAAACACATAATATACAATAAAAGGGCTGGTGGCTCATGCCAGTGGCTCATGCCTATAGTCCTAGCTACTCAGGAGGCTGAGATCTGAGGAAGGCAGTTCGAAACCAGCCTCAGCAGGAAAGTCTGTGAGACTTTTATCTCTAATAAAAACCATTCAGTGGAGTCCAGAAGTGGAGTTACGGTTCAGTAGTAAGGACAGTGCTCAGGCCCTGAGTTCAAACCCAAGGACCAGCTAGGGAATCAACATACCCAAGGCTTTGGGTTTGATTCCTTACTATGTATATATCCACCACCACCACATCCCCCCCCCCCAGTGGTTTTTGTTTTTGCCAGTCCTGGGGCTTGAACTCAGGGCCTGGGCACTGTCCCTGAGCCTCTCTGTGCTCAAGGCTAGAGCTCTATTACTTGAGCCACAGAACCACTTCTGGCCTTTTCTGTTTATGTGGTACTGAGGAATCAAACCCACAGGTTCACGCATGCTAGGCAAGCTCTCTACCACTAAGCCACATCCCCAGTCCCTTACCCCCAGCCCCCCAGTCTTTTTATGGTATTAAACCTTTATAGTTAGCTCCTTGATTCATCTGGAATTTATTTAACGTAAAGGTGTGAGGTAAGAACCCCTTAGTGACATTTTTTGACACTATGTACTTTTTAGAACTATAAATGACCTGCTGTCTCTAGGGATCATTCCAAGAGACCATTTTATGGCAAAATCACTTTATAATGAGACCCTTTTGGTCTTTACTAACAACCTCCTGGATGGCCTCCAAGACAAATCTATCTTCAACTGAGCACTGCTAAGGATGTCCAATGCTACAGGAAAGTCCTAAAAGCACTAGAGAATAATCTGTACATGGCACTGTGGGTGACAGTGTGAATTCAAAAGTAAAACAAGTTCAAGAGGAAAGCAGCTTTCTCTAGGGGTTTTACTTAGGAAAAGAGCTGCTGAAAGGACTGAAGCTGTTGTATCTAGTAGGGACCTAGATTAAGAATTAAAAAATAGGGGCTGGGAAGGTGGCTCAGTGGTAGAGTGCTTGCCTTGCATGCATGAGGCCCTGGGTTCCATTCCTTAGCACCACATAAGCAGAAAAAGCTGGAAGTGGCGCTGTAGCTCAAGTGGTAGAGCGCTAGACTTGAGCTGAAGAGCTGAGGGACAGCACCCAGGCCCAGAGTTCAGGCCCCACAACCAACCAAAAAAAAAAAAAAAAAAAAGGCATTAAAAAATACAATGTACTTTTCTCTCTAAATTACTGTCTGACTTAACTATGTAAAGGTCATGTCTCTCCTGCACAAAAGAAAGAGGACGAAAGATTCTGTTCCATTCTAATTTCTTTAAGACATTAGCACCTCTTGTTGCAATAAGTTTTCATCCTACAAATCAAAGACACAGAAGATTCT